AATAATAGCCGCAAACAGATAAATAAATAGGTTCCAATTAACAACGACTAATCCATATAACTATAAACAGATAAATAAGTAATCTAATTGTTAATGATTAATTAATTAATCAATAATATTGATAATAACCGCAAACAGATAAGTAAATAGGTAAGCAAGTAGCTCAATTAACAACGATTTATCCATTTTTTCCTTTTTCCTTTTTCGTTTTTTTGATTTTTCTTACTTTTTTTTTATTCTTCATCATTTCTTCTTACAGTATGCAATTGACAGTAAATTAATGTTCTCACAAATTATAATCCTTTTCTTTTCTATTAATAAAAATCGTTTGTTATTATTATCATTCATCTGAAACATATTAAATTTCTTCTTTCAAATTATTGAAACAATAAGCTAATGTTCAGGCAAAATTACATAGCATATTATGAATTATTGTTTACCTACAATTTTTAATAAGCTATCTAAGCTATAATTAGTGCTTTTTATTGAGAAATTTAATTCCACAACTAAGTTGCTACTTCATGAATTGCCTTTCTCACATAATTTTTTTTTCAATTCTTATTTTATCATTTGTGTTTTTTAAGTTTTGTATTTCAAATTCCTATTTGTCTTTTGTTATTAATTACCTCTTGCATATCCTCTATTAATTTAGCTTTTTTTTTCGCTTTTTGCTATTTTTTGCTTTTCTCACATTTTTCGCATCTTTTTATTAATTCAATCTATTTTATGATTTTGTATCTAAGGCAAATAGCAGAAAAGTATCAAATGAGTAAAATTGGTAATTGGAGGATCTATTTAGCAGAATTATTCCGAATTTTCGTTATAATTATTTCAAAATTTAAACTTTACAAAGGAATTTCAGAAAACCTGGTACGCCGAATTTCATAATAGGCTATTTTAGCAGTATGCCGATGCGGTTTGATATATTATAAGTTGTGGACATGGATTGTACTTTTCCTGTTGCGTGTTTTTTACGTGAGGTTACGTGGGAGTGGTACACTTTACGTTTGTTTACCTGTTCATTTTTGGTTTGTTTGATAATAAAAGTGAGTGAGGAATGATTCGTACGCATAACGTACAACTTATTTTAGGATATTAAAATGATTTTAAGAACTTGAAGAATTTCTCTTACATTTAGAAAACAGAGATCAGAAATTGTTTGCAAGTTGTTCTATTTTTGTAATAACAACAAAAACAAATAATAAAAAAGTGCCTTATAACAGAAGAATTACCAAAAATTGGTGGAAACTGTGAGAAATAATAGTGTTGTAATGGATAGTGGAAATATGTGATTAAAAATGATTTTGATATATTAGGATTTCGTGGAGATAAATAGATTCGTCAGAATAAGGAAAAAAAGATAGTAACAAATTTTTCGGGCCTTGAAAGATCTGCTGTTTTCGAATTTTTTGGGATCAGTCGGAAAATGACATTGCGTAACATACGACAGTTGTGCGTAATGATGATAAAATAAAAAAAAATGACAAGACGCTGCGTTTTATTTAACATATTTTATTTTCTGCCAAACTGAAATATGATGCCGTGTTTCCCCGAAAATAAGATAGGATCTTTTAATCTCTCTCTCCTCCTGAAAACAAAAAAAAACGTGCTAGGGCTTATTTTCAGGGTGTATATTATTTTCGGAGAAATATGGTAAGTCTGGAGGCTTAGCGCTCCCCGCGGTTGTGTTGAGCGACGACGAGGCCGGGAAATGGCCAGCACGTAGTGGAGGTGGGCCGGAGGCTTTACCCAAGGCTTAGTCTCGGGCCGCAGGGAGCACCAGTGCCGGCGCTTCTTGCGCCCTCGGCAAGGCCGAACTAGGTCTTATTTTCAGTGGAGGGCTTATGTTAAGCTTTTCCTTGAAAATGTCATTAGAGCCTAATTTCAGAATCTGTTTTATTTTCGGGGAAATACAGTTGGTATTTAGAAAACTACCAGCATTCTGTGAAATGGTTTAGCTACTGAACAAAAAGAAAACTGTTTGTTTAACTGTTCAGGATATCTGAAATATTATTTTCCACTACTTATGCTGACATTATTCAGCTATCAATTTTTTTAAATTGTAATTTTGGAGGTTATTATAGTCTTGCACTACTTTCGTAATATTATTTGAGTTTACATCCATTTTAATCTCAATATTTTAATTTTTTTCAGGTCGGAAAAACATCGATGAGTTCTCAGCAAGATCCGAATAGGATTGTATTACCGCCGGCAATTCGTGTTTCGCCGCTTTTGCGGTTTATGCGTTATTCCTTTCTTGGTAACTTCATAGATTCACAGAAATTAGTAATTCCAAGTGGAGTAGCATGTCTGTATATGCTTCTATACCTTTTTGGAATTAATTTTGTGGGTAAAAATTGAGCTAATATGAGAGATGCATTGACATTTGGATGAACAGATGAACACATCATAGTTTTAATTAGATAATCATTTGAGAAAATTTCTTTTAAGATGTCTACAACTTGTCTAGACTGAAATCAAAGTATGAGTACCAATTTTAAGGCAATTTAAGGATTGGGTGTAGTTTGGGGATTTTTCCGCTATAAAATGATTTGCGAGAAACATGCAGTTGTCGGCAAAAAGAACATGCCAAGAAACTTGAGGAAGCAGAGAAAGAACGCATACTTCGTAAACAGCAAGGAGATAAAAGCCTGTACGACATTTATTTGGTACGATGCTAAGATTTTTACCAATTTTTAAGCCGTCTTTTTTCAATTATATAAGGCGCAGAAATGTCTTTTATGTAGATCTCGGCGTTGACTTGAGCTTATGCTGGTAATTTTCAAAATCCAGGATAATCGAGAATGAAAAGTAGTTTGTAGGATCGCATTACGGTAAAGTAATAGGGGTCCAGCTTAATTACTTTCCATCAACTGAGTGATCCTTCAAAGCTCTATTAGGGAATTTGAAGTGAAAATTGTGGGTTTGATCTTTAAACCTGTTCACTTTTGAATCTCTTCCATCTACTTTAAACAGTGTGACAGAAATAGCTTTCATAAAGTTTGATTTGAATCGTATACGAACAGGTGCTTGAATATGTATGTTATAGTACTTATTCTCACTAAATTTTCAGAACATCCTGGAAACTGATCTTGATGAAGGTGGATCGCTTTTTGGTAGCGTTCGGGAATAATGGACAGGAAATCATCTACGAAATTTATTTGCAATTTAATAGATTATAATTAAGAAAATGTATAATGTTAGGTATGCCAAGATGAGGCTATCGGTCGATTTGGCGTGTGTAGGCAATTTCTATTTTGTGCTGTTATTGTAATATATAAATAAATTTTACAAGTGTTGATACATATAAACAAATTCTAAAAAGACACCACTTTGTGAAGGAAAATTAGGATGAAATGTCTCTTACTCCCAGTCTTTGATCAACTTTACGTAATAAATTCAAAACAGTCGGGTAACCCATCGATCAGTAATATCAGTGCCAAAACTGATAATTTCCAACATAAGCATTCGAAATAATTTAGTAATACCATAGGCTGTTGACGACATTGGACACAGATATCGTTATCGTCACGGTGTGATGTCTAATGCGAAAAGTATGATGCTGATATAAGATATCGTCGTAGTCCACCTATTTACCAACAAGAAGCAGTATGCTTGATGATGATACTACTTCGGATAACGGAAGCGTGTCACTGTTAGTACTTCGGGTAACAGAAGCATGTCATTGATACTAATTAGGTAACTAGTACTAATTAGCAATGATGACTAATTAGCAATGATGCTAATAGCAATTAACTAATTAGCAATGATACTAATTAGCAATGATGCTATTTTAAGTAACAGAAACATATCACTGATACTATTTTGGGTAAAAAAAAATTGCCTAATGAAATAAAAATGTAATCGATAGTAGAATTATTTGTAAAAAAAACAATTGTGAGTACAATTTTCAGTTTCATTGTTCTCATAGGTTCACTATGAGGCGAGATGGCCGAGTGGTCTAAGGCGCTGGTTTTAGGCACCAGTCTCTTCGGAGACGTGGGTTCGAATCCCACTCTCGTCATAATGCGATATGTTCAATGCTCGCAATTTTTTCATATTGAATTAAATAAATAAAAATAATTCATTATTTTCAGTTTTTGACTATTTCCTAAAAAAAAAA